AAGCAATAACCAAATGTAGTTTCCAAAGGGCAAGAACAGCACCAGTGACCAATGACCTCAGAAAGGCAAAAGGCTCAAAAGCAGGTCTGGCTCACTGTCCAAGGAGTTACTCAGTTTTAGTTTTTGGTTTTTTTTTTTTTTTAATTTTTTTTTTTTTTAAAGTAGGGGCAGAAGGATGAGGAATTCAAAGTCACCCTCAGCTACACAGAACATTACAATGAAAGACCAGACTTCCCTTCATTGAAGAGAAAGATATCAAGAAACAAGAGCTGACACTTGCAGGACAAGGATTCTACATGAGTACTATAGGAGACTGCAATTTTTAAATGAAATTCTACACTTTGGGAAGTAGAAGCAAAGGTTACAAGTATATATCTAAGTATATCAAAACTCAACAATAGTGCCAAGCTTGGTACTCCACTCAGAAAGGCTAAGGTTGAAAGTCAGAGGCTAGCCTGGACTAATGGCAAGATTCTGTCTCAAAAACCGAAAACTCAAAACCAAAAGCAAAGCTGGGCAGTGGTGGTACACACCTTTGAACTCTACTTGGGAGGCAGAGGCAGGTGGAGTTCCAGGCCAGCCTAGTCTACAGAGAAAGTTCTAGGACAGCCTGGGCTACACAGAGAAACCTTGTATCTGGAAAAACTAAACCAAAACAACAACAACAAAAACTAACCAAAAACCTTCAAACCCAAAACAAAACACCAAAAGTAAAACCAAAGTCTTGTCTAGGCCAGGGTCTAGCTTTGAATCAGTGTCCAGGCAGGTACAGGCTCTGGAATGTATTATTTAAGCTCTCAATAAAGGGTCAAGGTTCTCAATACTAAAGGAAACTCGTGTTGTCGCCTTTCAAGGTGGGTTGTGTGATTAGAAATCTAGATATACTAGATTTTCTTGAGATATTCAGAACAAATGTTCCAGTTAACCCTATGGAAAATAAACTTTATATCCAGGTGACTATAATTAGCTAATAAGCTAATCCTACTTCAGGGCAGTCTCTAAGAATGAGTATTAAATTTCCAAAGTAATAAACTACTTTCTGACATACGGTTTACTGTATGAAATTGAAGTAGCCTCAGAAGTGCTCAGGCAGGTTCCTGGTAGAGGTGTGTGAATAACTACAACCCAGGCTGTCTGTTGTTTTCAACTCTCCCTCCTCCCATTTGATCTGTGGAAATAGTTAGTGTCACTACAAAGCAGGCCTTTGTTGTTTTCAGTCTGCACCCTTCCCATTCCCACCTGCTGTTCCTTCTCCCTCAAATAGTTTTTCTTTCTTTCTTTCTTTCTTTTTTTTTTTTTTTAATTAAACTTTGCCAGGTATGGTGGTGCACACCTGAAATCTGAGCATTTGAGTGTCAAAGACAGGAGGACTACTACAAATTTGAAGCCAGCTCGCTCTCCACGTGGAGTTCCAGGGTAGCCAGGGCTAGATACCAGAGCCCTGTCTTAAAAGACAGAAAGGAAAAAAAAAAAAAAAAGGAAAAAAATCAAACTTTAATTAGGCTATCATCTTGGAGGAAAATATATCGTTCTTTAGCTGATATGTATATCTCCATTTTACATACAGATGGGAAAAGTGTGTCTTCGAAGCTCGAGTGCAGTAACCAGAGCATTGGCAACACTATGTCTCTCTTGGTAAATTTCCAACAAATAAAAACCCGTGTACAATTTTCAGATGTTTAGGTTATCCTGAGGGAGGTCTTTACTTAACTAGGGTTTGAAATAATCCCTGCTATTTAAGCTGTGTAGTAACTCAATTTAAGATGCAGATTATTTCCTGGTCTCATGTCTCTAACATCACAAACACCCACTCTTCTGCAAATCTCAATTAGAGCCCCTGTCAGGAAGTAAAGCGTCCCTAACAAGCAGATGCAGGCAGCACTTCCTGATGCTCCTCTAGAGGGCACCTGGTACACGCCTAACTTCTTAGGGATCCTAACCCACTCACAACTGTAACTCTCAAATAAAATCACAATTTCCACTGAGTCCTGTGCACCTGGCTGTGCCTAGAAGACATAGTGTTGCCGATGCTCTGGTCACTGCACGCATCAAGCGAGGCTCTGGCATCTATGCATTCCCTCTCTTACTCCCCACACTCCAAGCAAAGCACTCACGATTCGAAGACACACTTTTCCCATCTGTATGTAAAATGGAGATCCTGGAACTCACACTGTAGACCAGACTGACCTGGAACTCAAGAGATCTGCCTGCTTCTGCTTCCCAAGTGCTGGGACTAAAAGCAAGCACCAACACCAACCTGAAACCTTGGCTGTCTTAACTGGGGATTTCAAGGAGACACTGACCACAGATGAGGTTAGAAGCTGTTATGAGGCAGTTTGGAATAATAAGCCCCAGCATAACTGAGGTCTCGGAAAAGGGTAAAGTGTGGGGGAGGGGAGGGATATAAAGGAAGCCTTTCTTGTTCTGCTAGTGCTTACTGTAAAAAAATCTTAAAAAATATAACTCAGAATTCTAAAAGATCTAAGTCATCACTCAAGAGTAAGGTGAAAAGCCGGGCAGTGGTGGCGCATGCCTTTAATCCCAGCACTTGGGAGGCAGAGGCAGGCAGATTTCTGAGTTCGAGAGTTCGAGGCCAGCCTGGTCTACAGAGTGAGTTCCAGGACAGCCAGGGCTACACAGAGAAACCCTGTCTCGAAAAACAAAAAAAAAAAAAAAAATTATTTTATTTATTAATTATTTTTATTTTATTAAGATTTATTTTATTTATGAGTACACTGTTGCTGTCTTTAGACACACCAGAAGAGGGCATCAGTTACAGATGGCTGTGAACCACCATGTGGTTGCTGAGAGTTGAACTCAGGACCTCTGGAAGAGTGCTCTTAACCCCTGAGCCATCTCTCCAGCCCCTCATCTATTTTCTTTAAAAAGCCAGTAAGGGCTGGAGTCCTCGGAAATAGGGGAGTAATCCATTGGTGGAAGAAACCTAGGCACAAGGACAGGCAACACAGGAAAGAGGAGGAAATTCTCAGAAAGACAGAAATAAAAGAAGGCAGTTCTGCACAGGCCTAGGTTACAGCTAGGAGACAGATGGTTTCCAAGAGGATGGGATGGAGTGATCAGTGTTTAACATGTCAGACAATGCTCCTTTTGGAAAGATGGAAGACAAAAACGATAAACATGGAAATTTAAGTCTCTGAAAATGAGGAATCCCAGATACAGCCCAGCCCTCAGTAGGCTGAGGCAGTAGGATGGCAATTTTGAAGAAAGTCTGGACATAACAAGACTATCTCAAAACAAAGCAAAATAGTGCTGAGGTGACCAGGGTAAACATGGTAGCCTCAAAAGCCCAACCTGGGTTTGATTCCTGGAACCCACATAGAAGGCCAGTAATTCCAGCACAGGAGGTGGACACAGGCCTGTTAGCCTGCAGGAAGCAGTGTAGCAGCAGAAGCTCAAGACAGTAAGGTGGCTTCAGACACAACACTAACCACACATGCATGCACACACACCCATGCACACACTCCCCCTCTGCCGTTAAAATGCCTCTGCATTAAAGGCATGGGCCACCACTACCTAGCCACAGATTTTATTTTAAGCCAGATGCATATCTTCAATTCAAGTATTCAGGAGGCTGAGACAGAGGGATCATCAAAAATCAAGGCAAGCCTGGGCCACTGAGAATTCCAGTCCAGGCTGTGTTTCAAAAATGGATGTCTTACTACTTGGAAAGCAGATTATGTTGACTAAACTTCTAAAGCTTTATTACTAATCAAACCAAAGAACAGTTAAAAAGTAAATGGGAAACAATGAACTTGATATAAAAATATATTAGACTAGGTTTGTTGGTTTATGCCCATAACGCCGGTGCTATGAAGCAGGGGTAAGAGAAGAGTTCAAGGCCATCCTCAGCTACACAGAGCTCAAGACAAGCTGGGCCACACAAGACTGTCTCAAAACAAACACAAAATAGAATATACTTTTTAAGTCTTAAAAACTAAGAGCAGGGCTGGAGAGATGGCTTAGCAGTTAAGAGCACTGACTGGTCCTGAGTTCAATTCCCAGCAACCACAGGGTGGCTGACAACCATCTGTAATGGGATCTGATGCCCTCTTCTGGTGTGTCTGAAGATAACAAGAGTATACTCATATAAATAAAATAAATAAATAATTCTTAAAAAACAAAAAATTAAGGGTAGTACATGCATTTAATCCCACTACTCAGGAAGCAGAGTCAGGTAGATCTCTGTGAGTTTTTGGCCAGCCTGATCTACATTGCAGATTCTAGGCTAGCCATGCTACATAGTGGAACTTGTCTAAAAACCAATGAAAGCTTTTATAAAATACAAAGCACTGCCAAATAAGATATTACTTATGTTCAATAAAAATAAGTAAAGCAATATGTTTACCTTAAGTTTTGGATATATGTGGCGTAGAGAGTCTGCAGTCCCCATGTCTGCCTCTTCAGGAATGCACACAATATCTAGCTTCATTTTCATCTTGAATTCTGCACACAGAGCCTTTTGGACATCTTTGGTTGTAACCACAATGACTTCTACAGTATGAAAGAGATAACAGACAAATGCAGAAATTCATTCACTGAGACAATTTCCATCTTTCAGTCAGATGGGCTCTGCTGCAGTGCACATGCCTGTAACCCAGCACTCAGGAGGGGAGACAGAAAGATCAGGAACAAGGCCATCCTTGTCTACACATCAAGTTCAAGGCCAGCATATAGAATCAAAAATAATAACGCTAATATTACTGAGCCTTTTCATTGTGTGTGTGTGTTTTTTTAAATAAAAACCTGTCAGTGAGCAACAGTAAATTTCATCTTCAGATCCTCTGAGCATTCTGTGACACAGAGGTACTTGTCCAGGACTGACACCACCTCATAGCTGGGGAACTTTAAATGTCTGATCTCTCCAGGCTTAGAGGGTGTGCCCGGACAACTGAGCGCTCCTTCACCTCCCACACCCAAGGCCTGGGCATCACAGGAAACTAGAAACCCCTGCATCCAGGGGTGCTGCAAGGCAGAAAGGAGAAAAAATGGAATGCTTCACAAATCTGTCTGTCATCCTGTGCAGGGGCCGTGCTCATCTTCTCTGTATCACCCCGATTTTAGTATACATGTTGCTGAAAAGAAAACTGTTTTAAATGTAATTATTTTATTAATTTTGAGAATTTTGTGCATGTATATATTTTGTTATTTACCCTCAACTCCTCCTAACCTGTCCCCCACCCTTATCATTACATTAAAAAAAAGGATGTGTGTGTATGACCGTGTGTGTGCATGCACTTGTGTGTGCATGCTTGTATATGTGTGGAGATCAGGACTACTTGTACTGTTCTTTCCATCCACCTACCTGACTTGGGTTCCAGAGACTGAACTGAGGTTGCCAGGTGGCTTTTGCCTCCTAAGCTGGCTCACTGGCTCTCATCTTGTAGATTCGTGCTCTCTATTTGTAGCAGCATATTTTCCCCCACAAGTTGGGAGGAGCTAAGGTGGGAGGAGTAAGGAGACCAAGAGGAGGAATAAGGAAAGGAAGAGGAGAGGAAGAAGAGAGGAAGAGGAGAGGCTAGAGAGGAGTGGTAGGCACCATGGATGACCACACATGTACCAAGAGCAGTCCTGGGTAACAACTTATATCTAGGTTAGTTAATTGGGAACACCTCCAATTGTGTTGGCATCTTGTTAATGAGCATCACCAAACATAGAAAGCCTTTGGATAGCTGGGCAGTGGTGGTGCATGCCTGTAATCCCAGCACTTGGGAGGCAGAGGCAGGCAGATTTCTGAGTTCGAGGCCAGCCTGGTCTACAGAGTGAGTTCCAGGACAGCCAGGGCTACACAGAGCAACCCTGTCTCAAAAAAAACCCAACCAACCAACCAAACAAACAAACAAACAAAAAAAAGGAGCCTTTGGATAATCACTAAGCATTAGAGTCTCATTTTTTACCGGCTACCGTGTATGGCAGGATGGTCTGGGCTCAGCCTAACCTTGTGGCGACAACGTGGAAGATGGCTCTGCTGTCTCGTGGGTGGCAGGATCAGTGTCTCTGGCTGGCTGAGCCAGTGGCATACTCTCAGGCCTAGGCTATTCGGGAAGATGGCGGCTGCTTAAGAACAGCCAGATTGGGTGCCGCCAATTTAAAATATTACTGTTAACATCTATTAAGTCTTACAACAATCTCACTCTGAAAGTAAGAACCTTGGGAGGTGGAAAGATGGCTCAGCCATTAAGAGCATTTGCTGCTCTTACAGAGGAATTCGGTTTGGATCCCAGCCCCCAAATAAGAGCCAAAAGCCACCTGGGGCTACAGTTTCAGGGCATCGAACACTATCTTCTGGTTTCTGCAGGTACTGTGTGTGCATATACATACACGAGAGCAAACGCCAATACACATTAATATAAAAATAAAAACAGCCATGTATGGTGGTCCATGAATTTAATACTAGCGCTCAGGAGGTAGAGGCAAGCAAATCTCTGAGTTCAAGGTCAGCCCAGGTTATATAGTGAGTTTGAGGTCAGCCAGAGCTAAATAGAGAGACTTTGTGTCAAAAGAACAAAACAAACAAACAAAAATCATTCCCAAAACTTTTACCAGGTGGTGGTGCCAGCCTGTAAACCCAGCTATTTGGGATGTTGAGGTGGGAAGACTGTAAGTTCAAGGCTGGCTTTAGCAACAGGCTCTTTAACAAGAGCCTGTTCATATTGTTTTGGTATTTTTAAGGGGAAAAAAAAGAGATGGCTCAACAATAAAGCATTTACCTAGCAGGTTTAAGGATCCCTGTTCAGTTATTATAAAAGATAAATTATATATTTAGATAGATAGATACATACACACACACACACACACACACACACACACACACACACACACACACATATACATACATACATAGCTGGGGCTGGTGAAATGTAAGAGCGCTTGCTTGAGTCCAGTGACCTGAGCCCATACAGTGGAACAAGAGAACTACTGACTCTAAAAAGTTGTCCTCTGACCTCTACACGAGTCACAGCACACATGCATCCACACATATACTTAGGTACCCACAAGATAAATAAGTCTATACCAAATCTTAAAATCTACATTCAGGGCCGGGCGGTGGTGGTGCACACCTTTAATCCCAGCACTTGGGAGGCGGAGGCAGGCAGATTTCTAGTTTGAGGCCAGCCTGGTCTACAGACTGAGTTCCAGGACAGCCAGGGCTACACAGAGAAACCCTGTCTCGAAAAACCAAAAAAAAAAAAAAAGAATCTACATTCAGGGCTGGGAATATAGCTCAGTTGGTATCTATATGCACTAAATGGTATCTATGCCCAGCACTGCAAAAAATTTAGATTAGTGAAACACATCTATAATCCCAGAACACAGGAAATACATGCAGGAGAATGAAAGTCTAATGTCATCCTCAACTACACAAGTTTAAAATGCTCTCTCAAAAATTAATTAATTGGGGCTACAGAGATGCTCATGGTGGCTCACAACCATCTGTAATGGAATCCGATACCCTCTTTTTGCGTGTCTGAAGACAGAGAGTGTACTCGTATACATAAAATAAATAAAAGAAAACATTAAATTTTTTTTAATTTTATTTATTTTAATGTATGAGTGCTCTGCTGCATATATATCTGCCTGCCTGAAGAGGGCATCAGATTCCCCTATAGACTGTTGTGCGCCACCATCTTGCTGGAAACTGAACTCAGGACCTCTGGAAGAGCAGCCAGTACTCATCTTTTAAAAAATTAATTAATCAGAGCTGAAGCAATTGCTCAGCAGTTAAGAGCACTGACTGCTCTTCCAGACAACCTAGGTTCCAATTCCCAGCAACCACATGGCAGTTCACAACTGTCTCTAACTCCAGGATCCAACACCCTCATGCAAATATACGGTTAGGCAAAACATGAATACACATAAAATACAAACAAACAAGAAAATAAATAAAATGCACGCTTTGTCAAAGAAAATAATAAGAATCATTTAAGCTGGATGTAATTGTAGACATAATCTAGTTCTTGGAAGACAGACAGAGGTAAATCTCTTGAGTTCAAGAATAGACTGGTCACCGGGCGGTGGTGGCGCACGACTTTAATCCCAGCACTTGGGAGACAGAGACAGGCGGATTTCTGAGTTTGAGGCCAGCCTGATCTACAGAGTGAGTTCCAGGACAGCCAGGGCTACACAGAGAAACCCTGTCTCGAAAAACCAAAAAAAAAAAAAAAAAAAAAAAACCAGCCTGGGCTATAGTGAGTTCTACATGAGAAATAGCTGCTAATTAGAAAGACTTTGTCTTGAAAATACAAACAAACAAAAACTGTAATAACTAATTAGAGGCTGGAGAGATGGCTCAGCTGTTAGAGCACAGGCCTTTAATCCCAGAACTCAGGAGGCAGGGGCAGGAGGTATCTGAATTTGAGGCCAGCCTGTTCTACAGAGTGAGTTCTAGGACAGCCAGGGCTGCACAGAGAAACCCTGTCTCATGTTGTTTAGAGAGAGAGGAAAAATAAAAAGCACTTGGCTGCTCCTGCAGAGGACCTGGGTTTGGTTCTCAACACTATATAGTGATTCACAACTACTCCTAACACCAATTCCAGGGGCTCCAAGCCCTCTTCAGACCTCCTCTGGCACAGGAGTGCATGTGGTGCACATACACATTCAGGCAAACCACTCACACATATAAAAACAAATCCCTCTGGCCTCTGAAAGCAACAGGCATGAATATATTACACTTACATACATGTAGGCAAAATATTCATACATATACATTTTGTTTCAAAATGTTAACTAATTCATATAAATTCTACATTGGGGAAGTATCCCGCAAATTCTGAGTGAGCTTCTGTAAGAAAGAATTATATGCATAGTAGGTATTACATATACAACAAAATGCTACTGCTGAATATGAACTAAAGTCATCTAGCGACATCGGGACGGGTATGGCCCTCATGCCTCACTGGACAACGACAGGGGGACTGGAGCCATTACAAGGTCCCCTTCAATACTGGAGGTCAGGCCTCTATCCCCGCCTTCACAAGATTAGAATCGCCACAGCCCTTCTATACTTAGAGAAGGGAGGAGATGTCAGGGGCAGCCCTGCTTACACACTGAAGGCCTAAAATCAGCCATAGGCCTAAAATCAGCAATAGACCTGTCATACATGTATACTAACACCAAGTCTTGGGTCTCTGTGGATAAACATTGAAACAGATGGCTATAAGCTATTGTAAACAGGCAGCTTTGTGGAAATTTACCAGCCTGAGGAGTCATAGACCTTGTAGATAGGTAGCCTTGGCAAACAATACCAACTTAGATAAGGACAAGTGAATCATAGGCAGAGTCATAGTGACCTGTCCCCGAACCTTCACCCAGCCAATACCCGGTTCCGAAAGATATCTGTACTCCCCCTGAACACCCACGCTTCAATGTCATCCCCTTCCCCACATCCTGCCTTTCTGTGTTTATAACCCCTGTGTGAATGAATTACGATTTGAAAAAAAATAATTATTAAAAAAAAAAAAGTCATCTAGCAGTAAGAAGTAGAGAGTTATGGATGACAGATCCATAAAGCTACTGAAGGAAAAAAGATACCTTACCCTATTCTTCTAGAAAGACCCTTTTGGTTTTACAGGCTATCACTGAACTTCCTCCTACCTCAGCCTAAAGATTACAAGTTTACACCATCACAAGTCAAAAATAAGCTACTTTAAAAGGACCCACACGATATAAGCAGAGAAGCAATTCTAAGAAAATTCTCTGACCTACATTTGCACACCCATGCCTACAATACCTCCTCAAATCAATAAAATGTAATAATAATTTTTTTTCTTTTTTTTAGTTTTTCGAGACAGGGTTTCTCTGTGTAGCTCTGGCTGTCCTGGAACTCACTCTGTAGACCAGGCTGGCCTCGAACTCAGAAATCCACCTGCCTCTGCCTCCCAAGTGCTGGGATTACAGGCGTGTGCCACCACTGCCCGGCTAAAATTTTTATATATAAAAAAAGGCTTGCACGCCCAGCCCTACTGCTTCGACCTCTGCCGCCATAGAGAGGAAGCGGGAGAGAAGCCCATGTTGCCTGTCACCTATATCCACACCGCGCAGCCAGGAAGAAAGATGTTCGGCTGCGCCAAGCTCACCCGCACCCCTGC